TCTACTTCCTGTAATTCTGTTCATTGCCTCTAAGATACTGTATTAATACTGTGTATCAGTCTTGATCTTTTCTAATTCTTTATTTTCTTTCTAGACCTTTTCTTTAACTACTGTATATCATTGTGATAGAAAAATACGTGAGATTCCTAAATCATCAAGAAGGTTCTACACCCGTAGTTGCAACTCTCAGACAAACATTGGACCATTACAGATGTGTGCTGTGCAAATAAAAATTCACCCCTGTACTGGAGCATGGGCCTCTTATTTTGTCTGACGGCAGATAAGCATGAATATACATCATACTGCAGATAGCAAAACAGACAATTTTCCAGTAAATTATACATTATACTCTGTATTCTAACATAGCAAAGCAGAAACACCTTAAAAGCCTAAGGGTCATCTAGGGGAGAAAACCCTTAACGTGAACTTGGAATTCTACAGATAGGGAGAAGACCACCTTCGCCTTTAGAGTCGGAGCACCTAAGAAGTAGATACCGTGTTGAAGGAAATCCATAGAGAGATATGCAAGGAGGAAGGAAGATGTTTATGTCAGAGCCTAGAAAACGCAGCAGGTTTGAACCTCAGCTCCATCTCTTTCTCTTCGTGCAACTTCAGGCAATTTATCTCTTTGCCTCAGTTTCCTCATCTATTAAATGGAGATTAAAAGCGGAGCATGTGGAGTGCACCTGTGTGTAACCCCAGCACTCTGAAGCAGGAGGATCACAAGTTAGAGCACAGCCTCGGGAAACGCAGTGAGACCCTGTCTCAAAATTTTTAAAAAAAGGTTCTAAAAGGCCTGGGAATGTAGCTCTGTGCAAATGCCCTGAGTTCAGTCCCCAGTACTGCTGAATACACACATGCATATGGACTAGAGGAAGGCTGATCTTACAGCATTGTGTGAGAATGAGCCAGTGCATGGTAATGAGCTTAGCAATGAGCCTAGCACAAAGTGAGTCCTCACTAACGGTTTGCTTACCAAGTACCATCCCTTCAGTATCACCCTCACTGCCAGGACTGTGGCTGCCATTGCTATTATTGAGAAATTAGAAAAGGAATGAACAATTAAAATCCCATTTAATTAGCAAAGCTAAGAGGTAATGAGAGCCTGAATTAGGTGCCAGAACAAATAGACAGATTGCAAAGGTAATAGAGATAATGAGCGTAGAATTTAGCATCTTATCCCCCAAGGATATGGTTTAATTGGGCAGGGGTGAGGCTGTTATCTTAGTATTTTAAGCTCCCCAGGGAATCCTAAGGGGCAGCCAGAGTTGAGAACCCTTGCTCTACATGCAAATCAGCTGCAGAGTAGAAAGAGGAGCCTAAGGCTAGAGGTGTAAACAAGACTTGAAGGCTTTTGCAGGGTAGCCGTAAGAGCTTGAGCACTGGTTTTTTTTACTAGAGAAACTACAACCCTCTGTGTCATGAAAATTAATTTTCCAATCAACAGTAAAATGTTTTAAGAAGAGCAGTAGTGCAAGTGAAGGAAACAGCCTACATAGTGGGCCCTGAGGAAGCTGTCTGGCAAGAGGGCGGAGAAACAAGTACTGACTTGGCCCGAGG